CCCCTCTTCCCATCCCCCTCTTCGATCTGTCCGCCTGCCTGCGGTCTTGCTCTGTCTCCCAGCAGCGCCTAGCAGCCCTCCCTAACCCTTTCTTTCTCCCGTACCCTCTTCCCGAGCGCCCCCCACCCCACCCCACGCCCGCCCAGCGCGCACTGCTCCTCCCGGCCTCCTCGGTCCTGACCTGTGCTTTCCTTTGCAGATCTTCCCTCCCCCTCCCGATCCCAGTTTCTTATCCTCGGGGTTGGACCTGCAGCGGCCCTAGAAGGGGCACTGCCTCGGGTCGGAGCTGACTTGCCTGGAATCACCATTTTCCATCCCCAACCTGGTGTGGCGGGCCCACCCATCCGGCCCTAGGGGACTAGCAGCAACTGTGACTGGGCCGAGGGCCAGGGGCACAGCCAAAGAGGGAAATTCCCGTGGAGAAAGAGGGGCTGCTGCAGAGTAGTGGATGGGAAGAGGGGTGGCACGGTACTAGGGGGCGTGACGCTGCCACAGCCGACCAGAGATTGAGGGGCGAGTGCCCCAGAGCTCGTGCTGCGGGGCACAGAAGCGCTTCCTCAGGCATTACCGAGGTGGAGAGGGACCACGGACTGGAGCTCAGCGCTCCAGGTGCAAGACCTTGGAGCAACAATTGGGGTACCGGCACCCACATCACAGGAGTGCACGCTGTTCCGGGAACTTTGGTCCAAAAGTACTCGTGAAGAACCACTGCAAGGGTGGGCACTGCCAGGGAGAGCGCCCGCTGCAAGGGGAGGGATGCGGCCACGGAGGGCACTCACTGCAGCGTGTGTGTGTTGGGGCGGTAGGCCCTGGCTGGGGGCGCTCACTGCAGGGAGTGGAGGAGGGGCAGGAGCACCCAGGGCCGCTCCTCTACGGAGGGAAGGGTATCTCCTGGTAAGCTGGTGCGAGAAGAAAGAGGAACTGGGCCAGGGAGAGCTGACTCAGTCTCTCTGGGTCTCTGGTCCGGGCAGGCAAAAGGCCCCGTCTCTGGGCTCCCGCCGCCTCCCTCCCTAGACCCCTCCTCCCCTCCTGCCGCTGCCGTTTCCTGTGGCTGAGACTCCCAGCCATGAGCTCACCGCTCCTAATGGGTTGCAGCTGCCTCGCCACTCCAGCTCTAGCTATACCCTCCCGGGCCGCAAGGCCGACGGCCCCCCCCGCCTCACCCCTGCCCCACCCCTGCCCATCCCGACCTTCCCTCCACCCACGCGCACAGCACCCGGCCCGGGAACACTGGGGGTCTGTGTGCTCGCCCACACACCTTGGGGCTGGGGCTATGCGCTGACGCACTGAATGTCCCTCTCCGGAGTGGATGCCCTAGCTGCTCAGACAGCCGAGACAAGCAAATTACTTTAGCTGGAGAGACTCAGTGAAATATGCAATGTTGTCTTCCCACCAAAAGCAAGACAGGCTGCCGAGGGGAGGCAGAGGACTAAGTAAATATGCGCGGAGCACCCCCTTTCCCATTTAAAGCAAAGAAATCTGATAAAAGGAATTTCAAAGGCTATCTTGAAAGGAGAAATAAGCTTGCAAAGGAGCAGCCCAGGGAACTGTTGTTCAGGGTGTGGGGTGGAGAAAGATGTCCCACTGATTCACTTAGGGAGGCAGGTCTGTCTCTTGAGCTGGTGGCTCCAAGCCTAGGGTCCCAGTGGAAGTAGAAAGGATTTCAACTGGAATGCATACCATCCTGGAGGCCTCCTCCTCCCTTCCCCACATGTTCCTTTTGTGCCTTATCCCTACTTTGAATGCCTCCACCCAGTTCATTGTAATCCAATCCCACATGCTCTGGGAATGGATGGTTGCTTTAGAGCCACTCTGGAAGAGAAGGGTGCTGCTATAAAGACCTGGGCCGGCCACAGTTTCCTACCCCTTGATCCTCTCAGAGATGCAACTGACTGTAGGTGGCACCACCACTTAAGATAGGGGTCTCTGGATGGTGTGCTGGGGTAGAAACAATCTGAAGGATGGCTCTAGCCAAGCCTCTCGCTCCACCCTTCAGAGCTGGTGACCATCAGCTCACTCCCCTGAGGCCACAGGAGCCTGTCTTATCTTCTGAGGGCCTATGCCATCACTGATTCACAAGCACGAGGAATCCGAGGCATTCACAGCACAAGGCACTCACAGCATGTTCTCCCTGTGTCTCCAAAGCCTCAGTCTCACAGTTTGAGTATGCAGTGCTGCTAGGCCTGTGTATGGCTCTGACTGACTTGCCCAGCTCCACGCCCATCTCGGGCTCCAGCATTTCCTGAGTGCTCACTCTGTGCACACATTGTAGGATAAGGGCCTTGGAGGACACAGCTGCCTGCAGACCAATACAGACCCCAAGGAACCCTGCTTGGGTATCTCCAGGGGTCTGTAGCTGGGTCTCATCTCTCCCAGGAGCCTGAGCCAGTGGAGGACTGTGTGCAGAGCACACTCGCCGCCTTGTACCCACCCTTTGAAGCCACAGCCCCCACTCTGTTGGGCCAGGTCTTCCAAGTGGTGGAGAGGACTTACCGGGAGGATGCGCTGAGGTACACGCTGGACTTCCTGGTACCAGCCAAGCACCTGCTTGCCAAGGTCCAGCAGGAAGCCTGTGTAAGTGGTTCTGGTCTGTTGTGCCTCCCTGAGATCCACTGCTTAGCTCAGGACTAGCTAGACTCATTTCTTCCCACCTTAAGATACACCCTGCCTTAATACTGATTTCCCCAGAGGAACCTCAGCCTCATTTTGCTGACCTCCCATACACTTTGACCCACAGAGGTGCAGAGTGCTCAGATACTAACACACATACATGCGTATTTATCTTCCCCAAATATTTATGTCTAAGAAACATTGACTCCCAAAGACACTGACCCTGCAGACCCAACTCCAGACATTTCTCACTCATGAATTTCTCAAGATACTAACTCCCCCAGATATGACTCAACAGAGATCCTTCACTTCTATAGCTATAAAAGCCCAAGTCTTTGATTCTTCTAAGACAATGGCATCTGCTGACTGTATCTTTGTAATGATTTAGTTCTTGCCCTCCTACATACTAGCTTCCTACCAGCAGCAGACTGGTCCCAATGCCTTCTTCTCTGCCACATGAACACCCCAAGATCTTCCTTCCTGCTCCCCTGGAGGTGTAACCCACCAGGCATAAGGCCAGTCCTGCCTAGGGTGGGCCCATTCTCAGCTGCCTCCTCCCGCTCAGTGCGGCCTCCTGCATCTCTCCCCAGGCCCAGTACAGCGGATTCCTCTTCTTCCATGAGGGCTGGCCTCTCTGCCTGCATGAGCAGGTGGTCGTGCAACTAGCAGCTCTTCCCTGGCAGCTGCTGCGCCCCGGAGACTTCTACCTGCAGGTGGTGCCCTCCGCAGCCCAAGCACCCCATCTGGCACTCAAATGTCTGGCCCCAGGGGGTGGGCGGGTGCAGGAGCTGCCTGTGCCCAATGAGACCTGTGCCTACCTGTTTACACCTGAGTGGCTGCAAGGCATCAACAAGGACCGACCCACGGGTCGCCTCAGTACCTGCCTCCTGTCTGCACCCTCTGGGATTCACCGGCTGCCCTGGGCTGAACTCATCTGCCCACGATTTGTGCACAAAGGGGGCCTCATGGTTGGACACCGGCCAGGCACGCTGCCTCCTGAACTGCCCTCCGTACCCCCAGGGCTTCCCAGTCCTCCACTCCCTGAGGAGGTGCTGGGCACCCGGAGCCCTGGGGATGGGCACAATGCTCCCGCTGAAGGACCAGAGGGTGAGTACGTGGAGCTTTTGGAGGTGACGCTGCCTGTGAGGGGGAGTCCCGCGGATGCTGAGGGCTCTTCGGGTCCCTCCAGGACCCGGACAGTTCCTACCCGCAAGAGTGCTGGAGGGAAGGGCCGGCACCGGAGGCACCGGGCATGGATGCACCAGAAAGGCCTGGGGGTTCGGGCTCAGGACCAGGATGGATCACGCCCACCCGGTGAGGGGAGCAGCACTGGAGCCTCCCCCGGGTCTCCGCCGGGAGCTGAAGCTGTCCCAGGGGCAGCAGACGTGGAGGTGTCTGAACCCCCGACGGAAGCCTTGGGGGAAGCCTCTGAATCCTGCCTCCCAAGGGCAGGGGAGCCTGGCCCAGTCCAGGGGCCTGAAGGGCCACCTGGTACCCCTCGGAGAACAGGCAAAGGAAACCGGAGAAAGAAGCGAGCCACAGGCAGAGGGGCTCTGAGCCGAGGAGGGGACAGTGTCCCACTCAGCCCTGGGGACAAGGAAGAGACTGACCACCAGGAAGCCCTTCTCAGTCTGCCCTCACCAAATGAAAACAACCTTCCAGAATGCAGCCTGGTTAAGGTTGAGAGCAAAGGCTCTGGAAAGTCAGAATCAGAGCCCAAAGAAGAGCTCACACCCACAGACAAAAAAGTGCCTCTGCCCCCAGAAGACGATGGTTCTACAAAAGAGGGCACCAGAGAGAGAGAACAAGACAGATCGAGCCTGGTTTGTGTGGCAGGTGAGCGGACGCTGAGGTCCCGCCCGAGGGAAGGTGGCCTTGGAAAGGGGCTGCAGCAAGAGCTGGGCTTAGGCTGACAGCAGAACAGCCAGGCCCGCCCTCACTACAGGTCCATAGTTCTGCTCATGTCTATGCAGGATCTATAGGCCCAGAGGGGCTCCTGTCTGACCCCCCAACACAACCCTCGGAGCCTGCACGGGAAGTAAAAGTGGACAGCATTCCAGAAGCAGCCCCTCTAGTCTCCATCTCTGATGGCCCTGAGATAGCCTGGGATTTGATGGCATCCGGATTCCTTGTCCTGACTGGTCAGTCGGTGAAGGGAGAGGGCTTGGGGAAAGAGAAGCAGTTGAGGCAGACTTGGGAGGGAGGTAGCCGAGGACTGCTCCCAGCCAGGACAGCCTGGCCATTTTGTGTCTTCAGGAGGGGTGGACCAGAGTGGGCGAGCTCTGCTGACCATTACCCCACCGTGTCCTCCTGAGGAGCCCCCACCCTCCCGAGACATGCTGAGCACTGTTCTTCATTACCTCCACTCACTGCTCAGGTAACCATGGTGAGCCTTGGCACCCTGGACGTAACCTCCTGAGTCACACGGACCTGACTTCCTTCTTAGGACACTGACCTTCTGACCTCTAGGACACTTCTTCAACCCTCAGATTTTCAAGTTATTGACCTCTGACCTTACTGACCACTGCTTTCCAGGATAATATCTCTACTGATCTTTAAAATGAACACTGCTGACCCCAGTGTTCTACGACACTGCTTCGACTGTCAGGACGTTGAGTCACAAAGAACCCGAGAGACACCATGCTACAGAGTGGCGTTGGGTTCAGACCTTTCCAAAACATGGAATCGTTCTCTTTCCAGGCCTTAGTCCCTTGACACAGTAGCTACAACATCAGCTCCTGAATGCTAGGCCACTACACGCCAGACTTTGGCACTTTGCACATTGTTTCCCAAAGGTAACAGGAAGTAACTGCTCCTGAAGACTGCGAATACTAAGTCAGACCCATGCCTCTGCCCTGCCCTATCTGCTGTCTCTCTGACACGCACACCCGTACACACACACACACACACACGTGCACACATGCACACACTGCAGCCTCCTGCCCTTCCTGCCCCACAGACCTGATCTCCAGTCACTGGGACTGTCTGTCCTGCTGGACCTTCGCAAAGCACCTCCACTGCCTCCAGCGCTCATTCCTGCTCTGAGTCAACTTCAGGTAACCATTCTCCTGAGACAGGCACTTCCCCTAGATGCAACTCTTAGTTGCCCGCAGTTTAGGGTTATTCTTCTCTGCCTTCAGGACTCGGGAGACCCTCCCCTTATTCAGCGGCTGCTGATTCTCACTCATGGTGACTCTCCCACTGAACTCTGTGGATCTCAGGTTTGACCCCCCGACTCTCTCACCTAGTCTCCCATCCGTAGTGGAGATCGGAAGGGGCTGGCTGGAACCCCAGGCTGGTCTCTCAAACCTGGGTGCCCCGGCAGAAACTCCCTAACTTCACATGTCTGTAGGGCGCTGAGTGGCTGTCAGAGAATGATCTGAAAAGAGTGGCCAAGCCAGAGGAGCTGCAGTGGGACCTAGGAGGTCAGAGGGACCCCTCTCCCAGCCACTGGGTAGAAGTACATAAGGTAAGCATCCCCTCCACCGTCTAGGGTCTCAGGAACCAGCTGAGGACATTCTAGGAGACAAGGAAGCTCCATGGGCTGGGAAAAAATAGTTTCCATTCCATTCAGCAAGTACTTATGGTTCACAGGTTATGAGCAAAATATTGTGCATTGTATCATGGGGAAACAGAGAGTATGTTAAATTCTTCATACGACATTCAGTAATATATGAATTTTGGTGGGACATTAAATCATGAAAGAGGGCCAGGGATGTAGCTCAGTGGTGCCGCCTCCTGCCTTGAAAGTGCATGGACCCGAGTTCTATCCCTGGTACCAAAAA